GCTTGAAGAACAAGCTTGGTATATTTGTTACAACGGCCTAATTAATCCATCTCTTTCACATATAAATAAAAAGAAGAAAGAAAGGAGAAATCTTTAGGGCTCATATCTCAAAAAATGGGGAAGAAAGAGCAGAAAGATCATTCAACAGTAGAGAGTGACGACAAAGTCGAAGCTGTTCTTCATCTCCTTCGTAAACATTCTCCTCTCACTCTTAAACAGGTTGGTTTTACTAATAAACTAGCTCACTACTTAAATCTTTCCGTTTACTTAACATATTTTGAAAAAATATTTGATTTTTCTTGAAACTTTGATGATTTTTCTTCTTGTTGTTTGGGTTTGATAAATATTGCAGGAGAAGTTCTGTAACAGAGCTTGTGTGGGTAGATTCTTAAGAACAAAAGGAGATAATGTGAAAAAAGCAGCTAAACAGTTAAGGTCTTGCCTTTCATGGAGATCTTCTCTTGGCATTGGTACTTTCTCTCTCTTCACCTATACATATACGCAACTATGTATCTCTGTATATATGTTTGAAAGTAACATGTGCATATATATGTTCTTGTATAATTTTTTTCTTTTCACGATATTCTCTTGTATGTGTACTAACACGCGTACGTTACATCTTTAGAGGTTCAAAGCTTTATTTAATAAACGGTCTAAAATTTTTAAAACAATCAAACGAGAGGATAAAAACATAAAGTTTAAAGTAAACCATGTAGTGTGTATAGATGACTATAGTTTTGGTAATTTGTTGTATTTCTTTTTTATGTGATTAGAAAACAGACGTTTCGTTGCTTTTTTCTCGGGTTTTGATGTGTCCCATGTTTGAACATCGAGCGTTAAAGTGAATATCCACTCATTATGACTCCCACTAATTTTTAACCTCTTCTATTTAATTTTTCAAGATTCTGTTTTACCTTTTTCCATTTCAAATTTATAATATGTTGTCTTAAAATAATTGCAGAGAGCTTGATCGCCGACGAGTTCACGGCGGAGCTAGCTGAAGGTCTTGCCTACGTCGCCGGTCTTGACGACGAGTGTAGACCCGTTTTGGTAACTTAATGTTCCTCACTTTTTCTTAGATGATTTCTGTATATAAAATTATTTCATAATTAACCAAACCTAATTTAAATACTTTTTGTACGTTTTCTCTTAGGTTTTCCGTATTAAACAAGATTATCAGAAGCTACATACGCAGAAACAGTAAGTATAAATTACCCACACACATATTAACACATAGTATTAAAATTCACAAATTAAATATATATTGCTTTATTTTTCTAGGTTGACTCGTTTGGTGGTATTTACATTGGAGGTGGCCATCTCAACTATGTCCAGGAACGTCGAACAATTTGTCATACTTTTCGATGCTAGTAAGTTCTTTTTACTTTTTGTTGTTATAGAAACTCCATTTATCATTTTATAAATATAGGTAGAAAAAGGTTTCAAAATAAAGGGAGAAAAGGGAACATTTTTCAAAAATTAGTAACTATTTTTAATTTTGTCTTGTTATCCTCAATTGAAATATTGTCATAGTAACATAAAATGTGTAAAAATAAATAAAAAGTTGGTAAAATTAAGGGACCGACCGGAAACATGTCGGAACTCCGGCAGGAAAGTGGGAGAGATAACGATGTGAAAATGTCCGTAGTGTCCCTGTTTAGTCGCCTATCACAATCTCAATTATTGAGGGTATTATTGGCATTTACTTATGTCAATCTTCTACATCAGTTGCAGTACTTCTCGTAAATCTGTTACTTCTCTTTTAGCTTTACATTAAATGTTCCTCTTTTGATTCTCTGCAACTCCACAGTACACTTTCCTTGTACTCATTTATTTATTTTCTATTAATAGAGAAAGAAAAAAAAAATACAAAATCTCAACGTTTATTGTAAGCTAAAAAATGTTGTCAACTGTCAAAATGGGATCAAATTATCAATCTATATAAGGAAACTTTCTTCTGCTAACAATTTTGAAATTTGCAGGCTTCTTCAAATCAGCACCAGCCTTCATGAACATACTTGTAACTACACTCAAAATAGTTGCAGAATATTATCCTTGTCGTCTTTTCAAAACCTTCGTCATCGACCCTCCTTCACTTTTCTCTTACCTTTGGAAGGTAAAATAAAAATTGTTAAATTATGATTTAAATAATAATACTTTGAATTTAATTATGAGTAAGTCAAAGTGTTAGTTCACCTATATAAAATGTAACTCGAGAGACTTGAGGAAAGTCAGAGGTAATGATCCTCTACGGTCACGTGTAGGGTGTACGTGCATTTATGGAGTTATCAACGGCCACGATGATTGTATCAATGATAGATTTCCAAGACTCGTTTGACTACGACGACTTTTCATCCTCTTACCCATCACGAGTCTCCTCTCTCCGATTCGACACGTCATCGATAAAATCAACGGACAAGATCGGTTCTTGCGCATCCTCTAGGTTCGCTTTCACCGTATCACGCGACGGTCTCGACACGGTCAAACCATGGTGCTTAACGTTGACCGACACGTCATCATCCAAAGTAGGACTCACCGGCGCGTACATCTCACCGCTCAACGCGCGTTCGTTCTCTTTCGCGTCACCGGCGGCTAGAAGAGAGCCGATTAGTGGGCCCAGGAGGAGCTTTTTCGCGTCCACTCCGATGCCAGCTAGGACCAGTGACCGTCACTCTATCGGAACCTTACGTGACCCGCGGTTACCTAGACCGTCGTTCTTTCAATCACCGGCGGTGTTTTTCCGGCGAGAATCACACGTCAGCAAAAGCGAGAAGCCGCGAGAATCGTTCGTTATGTTTCTCAAATTTTATCGTAGACCGTACGATGAGATGACTTATAGGTCAAAGATGCGGCCCCCACTAGGTGGTCTCGTATCTATTGTTTCTAATCAGATTAGACGTCGCCACGTGTCTTTATCTCAACGGTTCTAACTTATGAATTGCAACTATCCATCTCTTGAAGAAAGTAGTATATATAACTTTTGCCATTTGTTATAAAAGTTTTCCAATATTGTTGTTTGTTATTTCTATCATTCCTAGCTCGTCGAAAATGTATTTCTAATAATTTTGATCAATTGTTTATTTATTCAGCAAATTTCTATATATTGGTTTGATTTCGATTATCTAAAGTGTTTCTGG